GAAAGGGCGGATCTATACAACAATTTGCAAGGAAACTTTTTTGTTAGAACATAAAGGCGTTTTTTAGGCAAAATTTCGAGTTAGTTAAAAAATACCACAAATTTCACGTTACACCCGATCTTGTGATCTACACACATAATTTTCCTTTTCTGGTTTGTATCACGGTGGGAAATAAGGACGTGCGGTGTAAAAATTTCCATTTATGCTTATATAAATTCTGGTGCGCAGCAACTCACATAAAAATTTTTTAAATATGCGTACGTACGTACGTACGTAAAACAAATAGCTCTAAATAAGAAGCACAATCATTTTATTATAAAGTCGATATAATTTTAATATCAAAGATAATTAACAACTTAGCTAAATAATAAATATAACGCTATCAAGCTTAATGCATGTATATGAATTTTATGTATTATGTAAAAAAAAAAACTGGTCATGAGGAACAATAACCAACTTTTAATCGTGTAGATTTCATCGTTTAATGTTTATTTCCTTTTTTGTGAAAGACATTTTTGGAAATTTTCTTGATAAGGCACATTTCAGTATGTATGGCGTTTACACAACGAAAATCATCAAAAATTGTTTACAAATCATAACAATAATTTACGAGTATACACGGTAACTTCAAATTTTTCGTCATTCAATAGTTTATAATTGAACATGCAAAATTAAATCCACATGAAAAACCCATTACTAGAATTATCAAAATTAGTATTTCCATAGATGGGTATTCTTAGATGATATATAATGTGCACACTATTTGTACCCTTTTAAATGTAAATCCTCTATAACGCGCATTTTAATTACTTGATAAATTGCTAAAAACATTATCGTTCTCCATTCTTCTATTAACTATCTTGATAAATAGCTAAGGATATCTTCGTTTCTCCATTATTTTATCAACTATGAAAAACAAAACATTTCGAAAAGTAGATGATCAGCATACAATGCGGTTTAAAGATTTTGTTCGCAAGTATAATCGTGAATTTAAAAACCTTCAACATGAATATGCTCGCAACTTAGACGAATTGGAGGAATTTAAACGTAAATGCGCTCTTAAATTTGAAGAATTATTTCCGAATGAATCTAGTCCCGAATATCGTATTAAATTTAAACATTTTCAACGAGAATGTGATCTTGGCTGTGAGAATTTTAAGGAATTGCAAACTAAATGCAATCTTAACTTTGATGAAATCCAAAAAGATTGTAAACATGAATTTGAAGAACTACATAGTGCAATTACATCCGAAACAAATAATAAATTCAATACCTCACAA